ATATTAAGCAAGCATTCATGCGTGTAATGTTACTTAACGTTTCTTAGATATTTGTACACACATGCATGTATATTTCATAAGTTTTCAATCTTTTAAATGAATATAAGTTTTCAAGTTGTAATGCGATCCGTGTGTGGAACAATATGTTATCTGCACCGTTAATGTTTTGAGAACAATTTTCTGGAATGACCTTTTCGTTCGAGACTAGAACAATACAAATACTGCTAATACATCCCTTTTCTTTTATTTATTTGCAGAACACTTCGTTTCTTGTTCATGAATCATCACGTTGGAGAAAGGACGAACATATATCATTTGCGGTTGGTATACAGCTATTTCAATTAAGGTTGTCCCCCGAGCAAAGCGGAAAAGTCGAATACGAGCGCGAAAGGCTGCTGGGATTCGCTAATAAATTAATGAATTTATTAGCGATTTCCAGCAGCCTTTCGCGCTCGTATTCGACTTTTCCTCTTTACTCGGGCGACAACCTTAATTGAAATAGCTGTATATATTTAACACATACTTGTATTTAATACATACGCTTTTTTATCCAGTTATTTTAATAATTGTTGCATACAGGGCAATGCATGACTACTATATATTCTAATAATTCCTCCTACCCTGATAAAACACAAGAATATGGCAAACAGCCTATCATAATCATAATACATGTCGGTGAAAATGAAGAAATCTGATTGACTGAGGATTCTTTCAGATTGGGCAAGTTTTTCTCATGCATGCAGCCCGCTCTGAAACTCAGGCGATGTGAAAATAAATATGTTATGCATCCACCAAATTATTATTTCCAGGTCTCAATGGGACCTAGCTAACCGTGTAGCTCAGTTGGTAGAGCTCTTGTAAAGCTAAAATCAGGGCAAAAAATTTCGTGAAAACTTAGTTGTAAACTAAAGTATTACTGCCGGTCACATATACATGTTGCCCTCTCTACCGTGTTGGTATTGACATGTTTTGTGGAAATCACAAAGCTTCAATTAACCTAAACAATTTGTAAGCTGTCAACATTGAACCGTGGAGGGGGAAGGTAAAAATTTCTGTTTTAGCAAGTTATCTGTGTCGGGTAAGGCACGTATTTGAATTTTACACGCGCTCTGTCCACAATAATTTTTGCCAGGGTTGTCTGAAAATGCCTGCTTGCCTCGCACCCACGCTTCTCTTAGTAAAAAACAGCGATGTGTGTATGACGAGTTTACATGAAGTATTGTTGTGGCCAGTGAAATGTGAAGTGGCTGATGGGAAGAGTATACTTGAAATGCGCGACGCCTGGGACTTCTTGGTCGATTTCTTGCAAAAAAGTGCGATTTCTTGCAAGTTGTGATATGTCGTTGGGTTTACGATTTTTTGCTACTTGGTTTTTCTGTATTGACCAATGTTAATATTCTTCTGCCATTTTTGCGTAAATTCAACCTGTTATTCTTCATATATACGACATACTTGTATGCCTAATTTAAAGTCTTGGAATATTAACATGTCAATTGTCAATAACCGAAGGGTTGAAGAACTATAGACTTGCAGGAACTAGATTTGCAAGCCATGACAATATATACAGATATAAATTATAAAACTGCTCTGTTGTAACAAATACTTCAAACTTTACGGTTGTGAACTTTCATTTACTTGGGCTTTTGTTTCCAGTATACATTTAACATGCATTGCCATTGTGATGCAGCCTTTAGCTAAATGAGTTAAAGTTGTGTACTCCTTTATACTGTTAATACAAACGCAATTATGTCACTTTTTAATCGTTTCTTTGTTACTATTTAGTAAACAACTGATAGTATTCAATATTTATTATATTTATTTCAACATGGATTGTCGACATCATCCCTAAATAATAGATTTGAATCGATTCTCCATGAAAAAGTTTCCATATCAAATCAGCCTCGTTCCCAGGGAACGACACTGCATGGTCACGTGCCTCGTCAAAAATTTAGTGCCCGAGGGGGTGTGGGGAAAGTACGAAATGTCTGTCAGTAATTTATCTTTAGAAGTTTGGATTCAGTACATAATTCCAACCCGGTAATTGTAGTCAGGATTTAGCCTTTTTCTTGGTCCTTACTAATCATAATATTTTGTTAAAATACTATAATCTATAAACACTATATGACAAATTTACAGTTTGATGCAGATGCGCACAAACTGTCATACGAATAGACATAAATTTTCGAGTTTTCTACTTCTACTAACATTTAAAAGTTTTTATTGCTAATCATCGTTTTCATTGCGAATTTTAAAGTTTTCACATCGAATACAGTGTGTATAAAAAAAACTGAACCTTTCAAATTCAAAGTAACTATAACGTATTCTAGTAATTTGACAGCTCTAATTGCTTTGAATTAATGGTTGGGTAAGAACACAAGTTATATAATAACTACAGTGAAACACGCAATTTGATTGGTCAACAGCCGTGCAGGATCAGACAATCCTGCACGGGAAATTCTGAACAGAAATTCTTGGCCATAATTTTGCAAATATACTCGCATTGTAAAGTTTCGTTGTACGATACCTTTCGACTTTGAAGTAAGTTTCCAGTTATCGAGACGTTGGTTTAGTTGTATGAATAAATTTCTGATCAATACATTGCTATTCAGCAAGTAGCAACGCGTAGCGTTAAAATTCATCAGAACATGGCATGCAAGTACAACATCTCTCGCTTCAAAGTTCATCAAACGCTTCGCAATCTTCACATATTAATCAGTTCGAGAATCTTCAAAACTACTTTGGCTCTCTGTTTAGCGGGTTTTCCATTTCAAATTTCGTATATTTTATCGAAAAAGTCCCTGTATTTTCGCTGTATATTTTCGCGAATTTGCGATCAAATTCTGTTCACATATGTTGTTGTTTTCAATAACGTGGAGAAGTGATTCTCTGATTGGTTAATTCACGAATGTTGTGAGAACTGCACATTTCATCAGTAATTTTAATCAAGTTAAGCGTCGTTTCACTGTAGTAATTTTATAAAACAATTACCAAATGGTTTTCCCGTGCAGGATAGCATGATCCATGCACTTGGGATGTTGCTCGACTTTCGGAAAGCGTAAAAACACACTCGCCTACGGCTCGTGTGTTTTTACGCTTTCCGAAAGTCTCGCAACATCCCGCGTGCATAGATCACGCAATCCTGCAAGGAAAACATTCAGTATTCCTTTAGTATTGTATTCATGCATGGGACAAAACTCAAAGAAATAAAAATTAGAAAATTTAAAAGAAATACAGTATTTCTTTCAAATTTTCTAATTTTTATTTCTTTGAGTTTTGTCCCGTGAGAACAAGATTTTGAGCTCTTACCTTAAACCATTAATTCAGAGCAATTAGAGCTGTCAAATTACTACAACACGTTATAGCTAATTTGAATTTGAAAGGCTTTAGTTTTTCCGTACACACTGTAGTTCATTAGTCATTGTGCCACTATTAAGTAAAACAAGGCTCTCAGATATATTTGTATGCAGTGTTCTAAATAGTGTTCATTGAAAGACATATAATATATTATCGTTTGACTTATTTTTGATGAATTAATTTTATAGTCCTTTGACGGTCTTAAGAGGGCCTCTCAGTAAAATCCACTCACTAGTTTGGGGAAGGAAAAATAGATATAGCTCATATTTTGCATAAGAACTAGACTTTGGTCAATATTAATCGAGCTTCTTTCAGAACGTTTCAACTTTCTGTTTTATAGGAGTTATGGCCATGTTAAAATTTGACCTTGCGAGAATATTTTCCACGGTGGCCGTGCGGACATCAAAATCCAGCAATGGTCTGCGATGCTAGGTGCGCAGCGGATTCCTTTGCAAACTTATAATTAAAAATTCAAAATGGCGTCGGCTCTTTCTCATACGAGTGCGGAAGAAGTTCTTTCTGAATTTCTGGCTGAAACTTCAGGTGAAACGAGCGATTCCGAAGACAACAATTCTGCTAATAATAATGCAAATCTTGCTACGACCATCAATCGCTGTTTAGAAGCGTTGGATAACCTTGACTTGGGACCAAACACGGCAGGATTTAAAAAGTGTGTCGAAAAATTTATTGAAACATCATTCTTTGCATTTCAACCTCCAAGTGACCCGATGAAGATACTGTTGAACAGAACCGTTAATTGTGCAACTATATTTAATGCAGAAAGCAAACAATGGCTAAAAAAGATAAGCAACCGATTGTCTGGGAAAATTAGCATCAGGCATCCATATCAAGGTGAAATCGTTAGAAATTTTCCTTCTGAGATGTTCTTTGCACTTAAAACTTCAGTGCAGCACTCCCGAAAAGAGGAAATTACTAATAATGTTTTTTACAACGATAACAAGAATCGAAGTGTTATGTCCTTTTCATCACGGAAAGCTGTTATTGTATTTCTGTCATTGTTGAGTGGTTACTCTGAAACAAATGTGAAAGGCTTCTTTAAAAAAATTCTGTCTGGAAGAACGCATGGTAAAGCCCGTGTAATTGTGGGCTGCAGCAAAGAGTTTTCTTTTACGTACAATAGAAAGACTGGGCAATTTTGTGTCTCTTTTCATTATGGAGTATGGAACAAAGCAGGTTTCCCTCTCCATAACTTCTGATGGGAACAAAACTTGTATATTACAGCCTTGCTACCATTTGGAATAGACAAAACTTGTGTTATTTGTTATCTGTTATTTGTTATATAATCAGCAAGAAGCACCTATAACGCACTTGGTTGATTATTGGTAAATTTCATGCAAACATTTGTTGCTTATTGCAGTCGCCTTGGCTGAAGTTCTTGAAGAATGTTGATCAGTTCATGGGAATCACTTTGAGGAATTCCCATAAACAATTAAGAATTTTAAAAGTACCTTGACACCATCATAACTTTCTATTTCATTGACCTGTAAGATTGCACAAAAATGGAATAGCAAATTTTATCGGTCAATGAAACAGGAAGTTTTGAACCTTTTCATATTTTTTGAGGAATTGTTTAAAGGAACTCCTCGAAGTCAGGAAATAGACTGATCATCAATTTACTGACACTTAACCAGCACCACTGTTAAAACAGATTAAGCGACAAGAGTCGGTTGCTCTCCCCTTTTCGAGCAGCAGGGCTGCACAAAATATTTTATTTTCTGGGACCGCAAAACCAACGAAAAAAATTTCTGCAATTTGGGGGCCCTCCATCGCCTCCCCCCTATCAAAAAAAAATTCCATAAAGGACATGTTCAATGTTTTCATGGGACTTTTCCCACTTTATTTCAGGCTACGTACAGTGCTTTCTCAAAAAAACAAAAATATTTTACCCGCCCCTCCCCCCCCCCTCAAAGCCTGGGGCCCGGGGAAAATTGCTTTACCTCCGAGTTTTTTTTTTCGAACCTCAAAAATGTTATGGGATCAATGGTCCTGTGGTCTGCCATATTATGCAGCCCTATTGAGCAGAATCAGAGAGTGGCTAGCCAGGGCATGTTGCACCTTTAGAAGCTTAGCAGATAGTTAATCTGCCATAAATTTTACTCTGCCTATTGCCAGATGATGTTACTGGTGAAGGGTAAAGTATTATGCATTAATTGGGTTAATTTATTTATTGTCAGACCTCTCCCCTTTATGAATAAAATTGTGTGATATTAGACAGAGTAAAATAGCCAAGTAGGGTGCATTGGAACACATTCCAACTTGAAAGGGGTTGATCTATTTTATTTTACTCTGTCTAGGAATATGCAATATTAATCATCTAGGGTCAATTACTTAGGCATATATATGATTAAAACATACACAAACTCTTCAAAAAGCAGGTAACATTATACAACATAAATATATATAAATATTTTGTTAAATTATAAAAAACCATTAAAATATGGATATTTGTAATCTTAAAGCCTGAATTTCAGGTATGTAATGTTCAATGTTTTAAATAGAAGCCTGCTTTGCAGGTATATGAATAGCATCAAATATTAAACATTGCAAATCTTGATATAATGAATAAATTTAATATTTAAGATGTCCTTCACTTCTGTCATTTACCAACGAGTTTCTTGTCCACAAGCAATTTACCAGCACGAACACTGTCTTCAATACCTTTTCTGTACTTGTGTGAGCAATAGTAACACTTCTCTTCGGAACTCTTATGAAATCCACAGTGACAGGATTCACCTAATGTAACTCTTGATGGAATGTATGTTTGCTTGTATGCAATGTTATCAGCCAAATAATAGCGTAGTGTTTCGGCTGTACCTAGCAATAGCTACATGTTTCGATTCACGACCCTCCATTGAGACAGCATTTAAACCCAACTGGTACTTCTCAAAGACCTGCAAAGCATGAGCAGAGATAAGATGACCAACATTCCAAATTGTAGGAGAAACTGATCGTGTAAATAGACAACACGCTCGAAAGAAATTTGTACAGTATTGCTTCAACAACTCTATGTCTGATACTGAAACATTTACCACTCTATAAAAAACTGAGACGCTTTCCCTTAACTGCAAACAAATATATGCAAAAGTATGAAGAGCAAATTCTTGTCTCTCAGTATCACTTACTTCTTTAAGGGAGTCAATGATAAACATGAAATTATGTAAAAACAGTCTAGAATCTTGCCCTGTAAATCGATATTTGAAATCTTGACCAGTCGCTTTGGTATCATTAAACCATCGCTTTACCTTCTTGGCAAGACGAACTAACTTTGCAGTCTTCAAGAGACAATTTACAAGTCGACTGAAAGATGTTGAGTTTGATAGATCATTAAAATGAGCTACATTGGAAGTTATATTTGACTTACCAATGCTATGATATAGGATCAGCTTAAAAATCTGCTGGCAAGCATTATTCTTGACATGTAATGGGTCTATGTGGGCTCGGTCTAGAAAATGTCCAAGTAAGGGCTCAAATTCCTGTCGGCTTTTTTCGTCGGCAATAAATGTAGTTATTTTACCCCTCTTTGTTTTGGAAGAACATTTTTGTTTTTCCACCTTTTCTTTAAACTTTTTAACCTTTTTCGAAACCTGAACTCTCTTGTTATATGACCATGGTTGCCATGTACAACCAGGTTCTGAGCCAAATGTCCCATTTGTTTCATCACAATTGTCAATGTTGACATTGGCAAAGGTTGAAAAATATTTTGCACCAACTGACAATTCACCGGCTAAAAATGCCATCATCTTCAAATCATTTGGAAATTCAGAAAATGTGAATCTAACATTTGTTCCATGTATATTAAACACTTTTTTCTCAATTTCAGTTATTTCATGTAGAATAAATTTTACGTAGCGCACAATAACAATTGAGTTTTCTTCACAGTTAGCTCCGAAAATCATGAAATTTTCTGTATTACTCAATATATTTTTGCCCGATTGATAAAACTAATGAGCCAGGTACAGGCAGTGCTATCTTTTCCGAATGGGGCCCCATCCCCACCCAAAACTACATGAAAATTGTTAATATCATCATCAAACCACAAGAGATTTTCTCCTGAAACCTCAGCCAGTGTAAGGTAAAAGTTTGCTAACAGAGGTAAATATTCTGTCAAATGTCGGTAACAGCCTTCTACTTTTTGACAATCATCTAACCCATAACAAAAATCCTCCTTCACACAACACACTTTACCAATCTCCAAAGACCTGACATGTGCCATCATTTTATCATATGGCACTAAACAAACAACATTGCAAGACATAAATTTCATTCGCTTCCTGCTTTTAATACTATGCATTGTTGACTTACTGCTATATGTCATTGAGGATATTGATTTATACACAGACCTGTATTTCCGCTTACCCATCACACCCCTGCAAAAATAGGTTGAGATACTGCGTAACATGTTCTGGTCTGATTCTTCAAATTCCTTAACCTTGTGATTGTAAATCTTAGGAAAAACCTTCTCACACAACTTGGGTTTTTTAGAAATAGCCTTAACTAAGTCTTTCTCTGAAAATTTTGTTGTAACTGTATCAACTAAACCTGAAAGTGTAGTCATTACATTGGAAGTTAAGCCACCATGAATCCTAGTCACTGCTTTAAATGTCTCACTGCGTCTTTTTGTATTTGTCCTTTCAGCGTTCATCAACAGGCCATCTTAATAATGAAAATAATGGTTTATTTGGGGGCATCTTTGATGATCTAGACAATTCTATTTTCCAAAAATATTCTAATAATAGCCATTTCGGTGGTCCTCAGTGATGATACGCTCTGGGTTGATCAATATAACGACATGCTGTTTTATCACCAGCTCCCACTTAGTACTGCCCCCCCCCCACCTTGGCAGGTCAGGCCGGTCCACCCCGAATTATTCAAGAAAATATACCTTTATTGGTAGTAGGTTTCAGCTTCCTATTAAGTATCGCAGTTGGATGTTGTACGAGTGTCTGTTTATCATTCTCTAAGCTGTTTATGTTCTCATTTAGAGAAGTAATCTAAACGAGAAACAAAATCACACAATAGTCCTTAGTGAAATACACCTTGTTGAGTGATAATTGTCTGGCCGGCAATAGACAAACCAAGATAACAACATGCGGCAATCATAGCTGATCCAGGAGGGATTCAGGCACTTCCAACAGCATTTAATATTCTTAAAACTTCTAGAGTCTATTCATTATATATTTGCAATTTGAACATGTTTACTTGCCAAATAAACTACCATGCATACTTTCAGAAGTTATACTAAACTGGATTTACCTTATTTTCAAGCCTTCTACGTTTGGCATTTAAAGCATTTACAGTCTTTTTACCTTCCACGACTGAAATGTGTGCAATGGCTGCCTCTTGTTGGTTCTCTCTTCTCGCCTTCATCATGTGCCCAACATTAAACCGAGAGTACCGTTTTGCTTTGCTGAGTGGCATCCTACAAATGACAGTTCGTCACAGTTCATAAAACGTTCATAAACTCGGCCCACCAGAGCAATTTCAAGAAACAAAAAACATAGGATTTTTACCTGATAAACACTCTTTCACACAAACTCACAAGCAAAGTCCACCGGCTAGCAGATCAGGATCCTTTTGAAGAATAGTTTACTTCAAATATCCGCCTGCGTTAAAAGCGCCATTATTTCCATTCACAAATTATGTTTAACAAGGAATTCTCCCTAAACTTTGTTGGGAGAATTTGATATCAAAAGAAAGCACTAACTCTTCTGCAGACATTGCCACCATTTACATTGAAGTGTGACCGCTTAGAATGCCGGTATATGTCATAATTTAACGGTGACAAAACAAGGCCTCAGTCACCCTCCCTTACAAGGAAAAATTGTAACAATCTTTAGAACGATGGGTTTGCGTGCGTAATTTTCGATTTACTACGGCCACCGTG